AAAATGGGAAAGTAGAACGTTTCAGGGACTGTAATGGCCTAACAATTAGTGTGAAAAACGTCAGTCAGCATTTGACTCAATGATAAATTGTATTTGCTGACAAGGTCATCGTATCGACCATAGAACTTACGAAATGATGACTTTAAACGAGACTGCTGATATTCTTGTTTCATCAACTTGTTTGTCAATAATTTACCTCGTTTTAGAAATTGTACATACATATGAAGAGATAACACCTGCCCGCCACCCTGTAAACGGTACAAGAGAGATACAATAAGACACAATAAGTTTCCATGGAAGTTAAACTTTGTGTTAAAACAATATTACAAAGTCTTTTATTTCTTAAGAAAACTGAAACAGCATGATCGATATTTCCTGCAAGAAAGTTTGATTGAAATATCGGGTAAAACCCAAGATCTTTCGGGGGCTTCGCCCCTTTGCCCCCCCCCCCCAAGGGCTTCCCCCTGGACCATGGGCCTTGCGGAGGCCCCCAGACCAGTTCTCTGCGTACACTTCACTTTCATTCTGGCTACGCGTCTGATAACACTCTGTCTCATAAATAATATATTATATAAATATTGCATGTAGTTGAGTGTAACATTGAAAGTTTTCACCCCAAGAAAACCATTGTCAACCGAGGCGCGGTTTTCGAGGGGTGAAAATTTTCAATGTTACACTCAACTACATGCAATATTTATTAGATTATACTGAATGTTTTATACAAATAATGTAACAGTGAACCTTTCGCGCATAAATTCTGCGCAGTCACTATTTTTTAGAATATCACCCGTCGTCAAGCAATGTTGACTGTTGCTACGCTGGAGGGCGTGGCTTCATCATTCAGCGGGTAATAGTGTTTTTTAACAAATGTTTCTCGACGAATCAGATTCAACTCATTTACATGAAAGTATAATATAAATGATTATCACTCAGTTATATGCATAATATATACATGTATATACAGTATTTGAAATTACCTAATATAGCAAGAGTTCTCTAAAGTTCTCTAGGGTTCTCTGTTTATAATTAGTAGGACCGATCTTTTGTGGGTTTTTTTCAATCCCCTTGTCTAAGGCTCAGGGATAAAAATAAGACAACTCGTTTGATTCATTTCATATCAAATTTAAAAATCATTGGGGATTATTTATTTTTAGATAATACAGCTCAATATTTGAAAGATAACGCAAGCATATTTAAAGTTTTTCTCGTGAGCTACCTTAAGAATGCATTTAGTTATATATACTCACTAGCTGGCGATAGTTTCTACCTTCTAACGGTAATTTAGATAATAATAACTCGCTCGTATATGTATGCTTCTGTCCGTGAGTTAGTGCGTCCCTAACAATGATTTGGCCGGGTAGCATACAGGGACATACATTTTTTTTTTTACTTAGCCGGCATATCAGTTGTAGGTGAAAATGGATACAAGCCTATTTATTTGAGTTTCAAAGGTCAAGGTCTAAATTACGGTATCATCTTGTACAATGTACTATGAATGACCAGAGGATCACAACTAGTGACAAGAGGACAAAGTTCAAGGTCAAAGTTACCATGATGTGGACTTAAATATGCGGCGTTGACCATTCCTGCATGGATTCTATGATCAGGAGTACAAGACTTAATTATTCATTTTTAGGTCAAAAGGTTAAAAGTCAAGATAGAATTTATTATCTTCTTACCAATTTTAGTCACAATTTGTAGATTACCATTTGATCTATGTTCACTACTCACTAGAGGAAAGTTTGTAATTATGTTATGGTCAAGGTTTGTATACTACTTTATTACATTTTCAACAATGTAATTCGGTAATAAGTGATATCCTGTCACACTGTGAAAGGATATAAAGTGGTACATGTATACTGTCAGTGTGAAAGGATATCAAAGAAGTAAAAATAATTTCTGGCCTCTAGACCATCTTGATGGAGACTAAAACTGTCAATTTCTTCCCAAATATGTTGTTAAAATCCATGTTACAATGTTTTCAATCTCACAATATCGCTACGCTATGAGGTTCCAACCGCTCAACTGCGACGCCAAAGCCTACGACAAGGAAAAGGTAAATCAAACAAAAAATTCAACACTTTGTAGTTGGATATGGAATTTTTATTTCACTCGAGATTTTTTTTTAATATTTATTCGTGCTTCGCACTCGTGAAAATATCAAAAAATCCTGGTCGTCCGCGTGGCGCAGTGGTTAGAGCGTTCGCTCTAGAGTCGCGGCGTAAGGAGTTGATCCGAGTTCGAATCCCACTGTGGGACGTTGAGACCGGTCCTTCGGATGAGACCGTATAAACCGAGGTCCCGTGTCGCAGTAGGTGTTGGCACGAAATTTAAAGATCCTTCACTGCTCAATGGCCATGAGTGCCGAGTATAGGTCAACATTTGCAGCTCTCTACCGGCAAGTGGTGGCGTCTCCATATGAGTGAAAAATTCTCAAGAGGGACGTTAAAGAATTCTGAAACAAACAAACAAATAAACAAAAAATCCTGCCCCACTCGTGAAATAAATGCCATATCCAACTACAAAACATTGAATATCCTCTGTATTTCTAATTCTCTTTTCAGTCTCAAACTTGTCATGAAGGTAGTAGATGACAAGGTCCGGATATAAGCCTATACTTTTGACAGTGATAAGACCAAAGGTCAAGGTCAAGACTGTGACCTTCTCAATAAAAATGCTTTCCTATTTTGAAAAGGGTATCATGTGACATTTTAGTCTAACATATGCTATGTACAGAGATGCATGCATTGTGGGAGGATGATTCCAGAGTCAAACTGTCATAGTCAAAATGAAATTAAAGGGGGGGGGGATTTACACTCCCGCGAATTATGTTTTTTTTCAATTCTTCTCTTTTTTTACTTGTCTGTGGGTCATCTAACTTGCTAAAACAAATCGCGAGCAATTTGCAAAATTCATCCCACAGGGCTTTTTAGTTTATTTTTTTTTAATAAGACAATCGCAGGAGGTACGTGTATCAATTTAATTCGAAATCTTGTTTCCATTCAATTCTCACTTTGAGGGTGTGTATGTATATTACTTTGTTTAAATATTCAATCCTAATTCAAACTTTGTATAGTGTTCATATATACGCCCGAAAGCATAAAAAAAGGCACAAAGGGTCATTATTTATAATGACTCAGTTGATCAACTTAAAAAAATTAATATTACAAATTCAAAACAGTGTGGAAATGCTTCGGACAAAAAATATTTTACTTTTTTAAAAATTATTCTACACTTTAATGAGTCTTCAATCAGTACAAATTTAACTCTTAGTAAGTGCGCATTTGAACGTGACTTGTTGTAAACAAGCGATAGAGGATGGTCGATTGATACATGTATGCATTTCTTTCCCTTCCGCGTTGTTAAATCATTCTGTCACTCTGTGCAGTAATTCAGTCGTTATCATTAATTTTAAATCAATCTTGAAGTTCTCATGCCTATTTTTCAAGGTTTCGAAATGTATGCCCTAATGAAAGTCATGAGTAATTAAATTTATTGTGCTCATAGCGCAATTAACAGAATTTATAGTTCACTGACGATAAAGGATCATATTAAGTAAGAAGAAAGTTACATTATTAGAGAGTTGAAGAAACAGGATGACCCATTAAATGAATTAAACTTCTTCTTCTTGGTCTTCTAAAATTTACAGTAATAATAATATAAAATCAATTATTTTTAAATAATGCTTGTAAAATTACATTTAATAAAATAATACAAACAATTATTTATATAGTGATGTAGAACACGTGAAAAGATATATGATCACGATACTGACAAGGGAAAATACCTGATGATTACTTCAGATAGGTTATTATCCTCCTTGAACTTGGAAAAAGATTTACTGAAGTAACCACTAATGAAAGAAAAAAAAAACTGTGTGAGAAATTATAACATGAGAGGACGAATTAACCTTAATTAAAGATAAATTTTCTGAAAAACCATACCCATATCATAGATAGACAACTCGCTATCCAGAAATGATGGAGTTTATGACTTGTACATGTACATATTGGGTTTTATTTCATCTGTGGTTAGTATTGATACATACATGATTGCCGATACAAATGTCATAAAAAGAAAGTGGATAATTTAGGTGATTCCATATCACAATTTATTGATGGTAATAACCCAAATCATCAAAAACAAACGAAAGAAATGGTCAAAACTTTTCACAACTCCACTACAAAATCTCTCCCTTTATATATATGTACAAGTATATACAAGGAAAATACTCCATCATTGACATACGTGCAAGCTAAACCCCTGTTTCCAAAATAACTTTTCTTTTCTCCAGGGAATACATTTAGGCCAGGGGTTAAAAATCTCCAGGTAACCGAGTCAAATAATGAAATGCTAGCAGGCTTAATGAAATTAAAAATAAAAGCCATTTTATATTGCTATTAATCCCCCCTCCCCCTCCCCCCCCCCCAAAAAAAAGTAATGAGTAAAATGTGCTATATATGATTATATAATAAAAGAAACTGTGCAAACTAAAAGGCATCTAAATTTTCATTCAGTAATATAGCCAATGAGTATAAAATAAATATTTGCATCTTTAGAAGCACTAGGGACCTATAGGTACTTTTTAGTATATAGGTCCTTGGAAGCACCAAATTTTCCGATACATTTTGAGTTTTTTTTTTCCTTTGATAAAAACAGGCGCGGATTTAATAACAGTTTCAGATAGGAGTTTGCAATACGTCCCACTTTATTTTCAAAAAAACAGGGGTATCACAACATAAATCAAATTTTTCTTTCATCGCCGTGTGCTCTATCAATGAAATTTGGCCTCATTTGAACTCTAGGGTTAAGTAAATGGGACGGAACAAATCTGTCTGGGCCAATCATTCTCTATGTCATCATGGTCATTTCAAGTTCAATGGATCGTGATGTTGATGCAGATTACAATACCAATAAATAAACAAAAATACAGAATGTTATTTACTTTGTTATAATATGCAATATTTATGATTTCGAGCTGTACACAAGGTTAAGGTCACGATGTCTCGAACCATTGAGAAAACACGAGTTGTGGCGCTTGAACTATATCCGGTTTCATCCACAGGAAGTGCATAAAATAGAAACTGGTAAATATTTTTCAGACATTTTGTGAATATATCAAGAGAACAAAGAGGATTTAATATTTCCAGATGAGCTCGTCATCAAAAAGAAGGTAAAGGAGACATTTCTTTGTTTTACCTTAGTGTATTTTGAGTTGGGATGCTTTAGAAAATCGTGAAGAGGCGAATGTTGTTCACATCTGATCGACCATGTGTGATTGTGTCAAATTTTTTTTTCTTGATAAGCAGTGATTTGTGGGGGTTGTTTTTGCTGTAGCAGATCTGATTATATATTTTGATTCAGTTGATTCCCAATATAAGAATAATTCGTCAATCACAAAATTGACCAAATCTGTACATGGATGGAGCAAGAAAGACCAAACGTGTGTATATCTGTATATATTGCAGTACTATTGAGTTTTGGATGGACATTGCTACACGATTGATGCCCCCCTTTTTCAAATAAAAAGCACAAGGAATCGAAGTTTTATTTAGAATTTGTTATCCTCCTTTGGTAAATCCAGATAAACAGTGATGATTTTTTTTGTAAAATTTGTATTTAGCAGACCCTGTACAAGTATCTATTGCAAGTTCAGGCATTTAAATGATTTATAATCAATGTAATAAAGAGATTTATGCCTTTAAATTAAAAGTTTCATTTTTAATAAATTTGCTATGAATAGTTAACCTATCAAAAACATCCAGCACTTTAACATGAATTGAGGTCAACCCTGATACATCATATGGCTGACCTAAATTTTTTATAAATGTCAGTTGAGAAAAACAGCAAATCAGGCCACATTCAACAGTTTGTTGAAAGTAATACTGTAATCTATTTGGAAAGAGAAAAAAAATCTAAAGATAATGTTGAACTTTGATGTCGGTCAAATTTTAGTTAGAATAATCTAACTGTGTCTCTGGACAGGCCCTCACCACAAACCAGGTCCGGAGGACATTTATCATTTTAACGATAGAACATTCTATCTAGTCAAAGAGCTAGGTTCACTTTATGCATAAAATGGCCCTGTAGAATACCAATTTATTGACAAACACCTTATGTTCAATTTTAAACATCAAGATAAAGTAGAGACTTAGTGATTTCATTTCCTATATTAAAATTTTTCGCCTTAAAGTCCAGGTCTTGGAAAACAAGCTTTATGGAATTGCAATGTTCTTGAATTTTAAGGAAAACAGGTATATTCAAGTACTTTCAGAGAAGAAAAATAATATGAGCGCACCCTCTGATCTAAAAAATAAAACATGTTTTGTAATCCTTAGAAACGGTTCCATCAGTAAATAATTGCATATTTTAGATCAGAGATTGCACTCTATATTAAATATCGAAAAATAGCTTTAAAAATTGGCTGTTTTTGTAGAATTGTTCAGGATATGAGGAAAATGACGCACTTCATGACGTCATAATGCATTGACTAGCCAGAAAATTACGTCATTTTTGGTAGATTTGCAATCGCCATATGTCTAAATGAAATTTAATGCATTGTCAACTAAAACTAAGCAGTTTCAGTTTTTCAAAAATTCACAGGGCCTAAAAAGGCCCAAAGTGAACCTTGTTCTCTATGCCCCAGATAAGTCTTGGTTTGTGTATTTGGGTATACAGAGGGAGATCAAAAGGGAGCACTAGCTGTTGCATATTGGATAGTTTCAGCAGTTATTGGACAAGGATTATTTTCTGGTAACTTTTTATGACAGTTTTTCCTAGCTATTAGTGCCTAAATAGGGCAATTTTCATGTCCACATAAAAATGTGGATAAAAATTCAAGGTATATTAAGGCCACAAAGGGATTGGCCATGCAAAGTTGGCGACCACAGATGGCAGCAAATCTTTGGTCATTTTGTTACTATACATGGCTAGAACAGGAGAGGTAGTTAGTTGTTGGGGTGTGTGTGTGAATTCTAGCCTTTTTCCTTTTAACTGTATATGTAAACAAAAGTATTTTAATCAGTATTTAAATTCTTTAACTGGGCTTTCAGGTCAATATACCTTTGCTCCGGGTTCAGTGGTGTTTGTGTGCATGCTAATCTCGGTACTCTGACCTTAAGAGATACAGGCAGAGTTATTGAGGCCACTGAACATTCCTTTCCACATGGATAGTACCACATTTCTGTTCATTGGGGTTCGTTCGTACCATAGTTTTGTCCCACGTACATTGGGTGATCGTTACCATAATCTGTTGTACCTGGAGACCATGTGGTTTCACAAAATTTTCACAAATTCTGGTTCTTTTATATAACATTTCATGATCATATATGCGAGAATGAAATTGCAAGTAGACCCCTGGAACATGTTGAAGACGGTCTCAGGTAATTATGTGAAAAATAAACTTCTTGTAGAAAAATATAATTTACAGTAACTGAACTGGTTTTATAGGTGGATTTTGCTTGATATGTAATTTCAAAATACAGGATGTCAAACACACCACTAATCCAGTTCTTAGCCTTCAGATTTTATATATCTAATCATGTTTATTACAATTATAGAGAAATGCACCCTCCTTCCAAACCTATTAAAACATGATTAAGTACATAATTAAAGTCAAGAAGAGTGCAAACTTTGATCATTTTATGTGTTATAAGATTTATTATATATACATGTATCTGTATATCTGTACTTTAGGCCAACATTTTTTTATTAAATGATTTACGGGAGCACTGACTGCGATTCTGGCTAAAACAAAATAAAAATAAAAGTCCCTGTTGTTGATTTTTTTTTTAAATTTCCCGCCGATCGTCAATGCAAGTGCACTAAGAAAATAAAATTATGTGCAAATAAGTCGGCAATTCTGATTGGCTGCTTTATTGAAAGCCATTATCATCATCCAATCAATTTACGTCTGTTATCAATTGTTTCGGAAGTGTATAAACGTGACAACATGGATGCAGAAATGTCAATTTTTACAAGAGTTGAGAATAATTTGTCCTTGTACACGAAAGTTTTTCCAAGTCAACCATAGCTAACAGGAAAATCAATTGGAGTATGTCCGATGACGAAGTTAAGTTGCAGTTAAAAAGAAATGATCAGCCTAATTTTATCAGAGGATACGTTGACAAGACTGTCACTTTTGCTTTGGGTACCGTATACAGTAGTTCTCTTACAATTTTGATACCTTTGGCAAACGTGATAAAAGAATGGAAATTAAAGATATACGTTCAAAATTTGTGAAGAATAAAATGTGACGTATCTAATTTGCATGTATATCAAAAAAACGTTTTCAAACTTGTAACATTTTAAAACGATCGTATGCAGCACTGTACAGACTAGAAATTAATAAGTTAAATAGTTGTAGAATAGATATAAACAGACACTGCAAACAAAAGGGTATTTAATGTGTTAATACTGTCAAGCTTTCAGATGTTTGTTAATATGCATAAACATATGCTGTATTGTAAAATACAGGACGAATTCTTGATTCTGGGTTTTATATTATATTCAGATTCACTTTATAACAATATTTTCCATTTTTGATTTGTTGGTTCATGATTTTTTCAGTTCTTTGAGAAAAGTGAGGTTCTCAATCTCATTATAAACTTTTTTCTTTGGTGATCTTGCTGTGGTCATGATTAATATTTTGATAAGAACATGAAGAAATTCCTTAGATTTCCCCCATTTCTCATAAGGACTTAACAGTCTACTTTAATTTTTGTGTTGCAGTTATCATATTTTAAGCTCCACACCATATATATGGCAATTTTTATCGAATAAATGAAAATAAAAAAATCAGACACTTTTTCCAATTTTATTTTTATTTTTATTTATCCCCCCCGACCCAATTTTTCAAAAAAATTCCCATAAATCATTTAATAAAAAAATGTTGGCCTTACTTTAATTCTAACTGTGATCATTTTTCATCATTTTTGGAACAAAAAGAGAATTATTTCCCTTGTTTCCCATGCTCTTTAGATGGTTCCCAAGGGACCATCCTGGCAAAGGAAGAACAACTGACCTGACATATTATCTTTATTGATCATGTTGATATGCCCAATATTGGTAGTAGAGACAAGGTAGATTATGATACATATGTATGCTTGAAAAATCTAAGTTTCTGAGCATACAGTTGGTATGATCAGTTGCCAGGGGATGCTTACTCCTCCATGACACCTGATCCCACCTCTGATTTTTTAAGAGGTTCCATGTTTCCTCTGCTCTCACTTTGTATTGTCATTTCAACACTAAAATTACATCTACAAGATTCTAAAAAACAATGCCAGGGACTTGAATTATTCCTACTCAACTGTAATTTGAGAAAAAAAATGAGAGTAATTATTATTCATAGGGTAAATACGTTTATGAATGTGATTAAAAGATGTACAAACTGACCATTAATCTTTTTCCATATTACATGCTGGTGGTCTGAACAAAGCCAGTGAATTTATGTTTAGAGTATTAGTGACCTCTTTTTAGAGCAAGTTACCATTAAAGTCTATCACCAGCACTTTGTTTTTTGTCGCTGAAATAAAAGGAACTGTGTTTCTCTTGACCTACATCTAAGTTTCATGATGAAGCCTGTATCCTTAGAATTTCTTGTGCATATTTGATATAATATTTAATATTATGGTCCTTAAGATATATCCCTTTTATATTTTTCAAAAAAAAAATTGATGGTAAAATTTTGGAAAGGCATCGTGCAGCAACAAAACAGAAATATACATTTTGATAAATTTACCCATCTTTGTACTGTTTGTAAGCCAGGGGTTTTTGATCCAGTATGTTTCCCACAAACCCTTTTTCAGAAATGATTGATTGTTATTATTTTGTAATGCTGAGTTGGCAATATTTCAGGCATATATTGGTGGTTAAAATTTACATTCTGTGGCCAGTTTTGAAAGTTTTTGGGTTTCTCTGGAGCCCCCCATTGAGCCTATTTTTTTTCCAAAGCCTGCAGAGAAATGATCTTTTGCATGCCAAGGGGGTTGTAATCCTTGACACTGGGAACCACTGAATGTCTCATCCGATGGATTTAACCGTTGGATCAAAAACTTGAAAAACACTTGTCTTGTGAAGATGAAAGTTAACGGTATCTATTTCGAAATTTTGGAATTGAGGCTGAGAGCTAAAAGACGACATTTAAGAATCAAATTTGAGTCTATTATTTTT